GGGGAGAGAGACAGGATTAAGGCTTACTCTGAAAAACTTGGCTTCTATTATACTATTTTAGATGCGGGTTTTTGCGTTTTTGATTGCATTTTAATAGGATACGTCAACAGAATGTACACTAAGAACGGATTTTTCGAAAAATTTTCCCCCACTGGGGAAGTGTTATATATAATAGATACATTTTGAGCCACAACAAGGCGTGGCGGGGTCTGCTAGTTTAAAATATATTTAAATTCGGTTCTGGATCCCATGAGTACTCTGATCAGAGATTGTTTATAAACCTATAAGCCGTGCAGCTCATAATTTAACCCTTTGTTTATGCTATCGGTCATTTTAGAACTTTAACAATCGTACGGTTTGGTCAACTTAACAATAGTGTTTTCACTTTTAACATGTGGATATTAAATTATAGTTTTCAACTATCTCTTGGAGCCTCACAGCCTATCTTTAGTTGCTGGTAGAGACTTGCCAAGCATCGCTTTTCCAAGTGTGCTATAAACTTCAGTTTTTACTTTCGTTATTTATATATTTAATCAATATGGCACTGATTGAGCAACGATTGAGTAGTAAGTATTTAAGTAGTAAGTATTTTTAGTATATTAATATTAATAGTAAGTATTAATTTAATTTAATAATATGATTATTTTAATTATTTATTACAGATGACCTTTATGAAGAAATTTATTGAAAATTGAAAATTCAAGACTGAATTAGTCATTAGATGTATGTCAGCTCAAATAGTATAACCAAAATGCTTCAGATTCTGTTAATGTGTTTCTGGACTGTTTTGATTTCGGCTACGGAAATGACACGGATGCGATGTGAGGAAATCAGCATCAAAATGTGCCGAGATTTACTATTCTGTTCAATTTAGTTTAATTATATCTAAAATAATCCAGTGTGTAATGTTTATTAACAAAATTTAAGAAATCCAGCTTGCCTTAACCGTATACTTTTTTTTATTAATAATAAAAACATCTAATTTTTAAAATAAAAATATATGAATACCTAACTTACTTTATTTTCTGTTAAGATTTTCAGCATATCTAATAGAGAGGTTGCGGCCGACGTTTTCAACACAGAAACGTGTACGTCAAACATTCAGTGCCGCCTTCCTGTGAGCCTAGAAGTTTGACAATGGCATTTGGAACATCAGTGGAATCATGCACGTTCCAAACGCCATTGTCAAACTTCTAGGCTCACAGGAAGGCGGCACTGAACGTCTGACGTACACATTTTTGCGTTGAAAACATAGGTCGCAACCTCTCTAATAATAAATTTGCACCTTTAACAGTTTGTACAAACTTCCTGCTCAGAAAATAATTTGTAAATTTGATTGCTTGGTCCTAAAATGAAACATACATTATATTATACATGTTTAAAGTAATTTAATTTGTACAAAATGTTTACATACATTAGAAATAGCTGGTGCTTTCTTAGCAGCCTCTGTAAGTCTGTATGCTCCACTTACTATAGCTGCAGTTATTGTTAAGCCTCCTTCAAACTAAAATAAATTGTTTATTAAAATTTAAAATTAACATAATGTAATTTATTTTCTTTATTACTTTAGTTAAAAAATTTTTAGTTATAAATTTACATTTTATTTTGAGTATGACTAGGTCTATTAAACTACTATATTGCATTTTATATCAATCATGCTCTGTTTTCGTTGTAATTCATGTATTTTTTCATTTTCCATGATGTTTCAACAATATTTAATTAACACGAAATGTAAACATATCAGTTTTATATTGTTAAATTTGACTTTTTAAAGCAATAAAACATAGACAAGTTCAATTTATTGCAAAATTAACTGTAATAAATTAAAGTGAACTGAATTTTTCTTATGAGAAACTAGCCCACAATGGGCTATATATCTGGCCTTAATTTTGTCTATTTTTGGAAGGTGACTCAAAAACAGCACTGGAGAATATCAAATGTGAGATGAGGAATGATTTCCCAACTCAAAATAAATATGAAAGTATCACAGAAGATTGGATTCAAATTTGAATTAACAGTGACCGTATAAAAATCTTACTAGGCTACTATTCTGCCATTTTAACTTCAATAAAATAAAATTATAAAGCCATTTATTCATTCATTATTTTATTGTACATATATAATATATATATATACAGACCAGACCCACTTTGGTGCATTACCAGTTGTACACAAAGAAATTACAATGCTCAAGTATAGATGTTGTACACATAACTCTAATGATGAAGAATTAAAAGAACATAAGAAATAAAATACATAAAATAGTTTAAAATTGTTTTCAACGAAAGTACATTCAGTATAGGTGGGGAAAATGTAAGGGTTTCGCTCAAAAATGTCTAATGCAAGATTCTCTTTATTAATTAATGGTTTTTGGAACGGAAGTAATTTTGACTAATGGCAGTCTCTTTTTTGGCAAACGTGATTTACTAAACCTGGAATTAGTTTGACATTCTCTTTAAAGTAGTTTACCTCATTCTTATGGTTTAAATCAACTGCAATTCCACCATTCCTAATTTTCCTTATTCGACGTATGCTTACGCCAAGCTTATTAGGTCTCACGTTATTAGTTAAAGTACATTTCATTTCATTTCATCAGAAGTGGCACTATTATTATCACTATATACTAATACAGTATATGCAGGTAGAGGTGGTTCGTCTATAGTTTTAGTTTGTTTTATTCCCTTTTGTAAGATATCTTTATGGCTAGGAATGCTAGGAACTTTTTTACTAGTTAGATTATCAAAAGATGTTTTCCTCTGATTTTGTACTGTTCATTGAATATCCATTAGGATTTTTGTAGTTTCATCAACGTGAGCATCTTTGAATTCCTTTAAATCATCTTTAGTAGCTAATCCTGAGAGTGTCTGTTCAATATAATCATATAGATCCCTTTTCTTAAAAGTAGTTTCCGCCAGTTCTACTACTCTGATGAATTGTGTCAGTACATACATTACCTGACATTCCACTCCCAATTTGGCATTCAGTTTATGCTTGGAATATTGTTTAATCTTATCGATAACGCCATAGGCAGTATCGTGAAATGTTTTGACCTTAGATTCCATACCAAACAAAATAATAGGTTTTAAAATTTTTAAAAAAAATTTTACATCTAAAATTTTATTTTAATTAACATAAAAGTATGTTCAATGTCTTCGTCTAATTCAGACGATTCCAAAAATATATAACATGACTAGTAAAATATTGATATTAACGGAGAAAATGTGACTTCCGGGAAAAGTTCTAGAAGTTTCCTATAGAAGAAATCGTTGACCGTTGCCATGACTACCGGTAATAAAACAGTAATTTTGAAATTCCAAAATTTTGTAGAACAGCGATAATTTAAAAACTATTAGAGATATTTGTATGAAATTTTTGGTAAAATTCACAATTGGCATCTTCTAAGAGATGCCCAAAAATCTTCCGAAAATAAAGAGCCGGAAGCGAGTTATAGCCCACCGAAATTTAACCGGAAGTGAGGGATAACTCCTTAACTACTGAGCCTAAAATCCTGAAATTTTAAACATGTACTCACGTTCTTAGTGTGATCAAATATCCGGGATAAGGGTTGATCGGTCAAGATGGTCCGAATAATCGAGCTGTAAAAATCGGGATTTTCAAAAACGTGTAAAATCGTGAAAAATTATCCAATCTTAACAAACTCGATATATTCTTGATCAGTAAGAAAAATGCTTTCCAAAAATGTATAACATCGCTAACAAATTATAAGAATTATAGCAAAAAACTTTGACAAACACAAGAGCAAAAATATTCCTTACCAATCTCTCAGGATTCAGCACCTTCCTAATTATAAAGCCAAATAAACTTCCAAATTATCAGGCTATAATGTGGCTATGTAATTATTTAGACTAAATAATTTGTCTAAAGGCACAGAACTGCAGTTATGTGCCATCTCGTTCCAAATTTAATAATTATAATAAATTATAGAAATTATAAAATTAAATTACTATGGATAGTTTCCACTTAGGTCATATTATGTCAAAATAATTGTAAAAAAATTATTTGCAAAACTTTTTATAAATTTAAATCAATGAGTGATCAAAATAACTACATAATTATTTTATTCAACATTCTTCACCATTATCATAATGAATTATATAATTATAAATCTGTATAATAATAAGAACCTTATTCACATTTATTAATGGGTTAGTTAATATGTTTAAAGTAAGAAAACCAATTATTATATTAATTTCTAACGGGGCCTGCCGGCCATCGACGACCTTAAAATTTACANAGACAAGTTCAATTTATTGCAAAATTAACTTTAATGAATTAAAGTGAACTGAATTTTTCTTATGAGAAACTAGCCCACAATGGGCTATATATCTGGCCTTAATTTTGTCTATTTTTGGAAGATGACTCAAAACAGCATTGGACAATATCAAATGTGAGATGAGGAATGATTTTCCAACTTAAAATAAATATAAAAGTATCACAGAAAATTGGATTCAAATTTGAATTAACAATGACCATAGAAAAATCTTACTAGGCTACTATTCTGCCATTTTAACTTCAATAAAATAAAATTATAAAGCCAAATAAACTTTGAAATTATCAGGCTATAATGTGGCTATGTAATTATTTAAAGACTAAATAATTTGTCTAAAGGTAGGCAGTTATGTGCCATCTCATGCTAACTTTAATAATTATAATAAATTAAATTATATAAAATATAAAATTAAATTAGTCACATTATAGCCTAAAAATTCATCAGTTCTTTTGGTTTTACTAAAATTTGGATTTGAGTTGATGTTCATACAAATAAAATTATTTCATTAGTTATGGATATTTGTTCACTAAACATACTGAAACATAAATTATATTTAATTCATACTTTTTTTTTAATTAATATACATACAGTCAGCCAGCCAATTAATGTTTGGAATGAATCATGCATATTTTACATATTTGAATGGCATTTAGAGAAATTTTATGAGTTCTACAAAAACCCAATGTACATAAGTTGTACATTTTTTACCAGTATTTATGCTACAGATAGTTTCCACTTACGTCATATTATGTCAAAATAATTATAAAAAAATTACTTGCAAAACTTTTTATAAATTTAAATCAATGAGTGATCAAAATAACTACATAATTATTTTATTCAACATTCTTCACCATTATCATAATGAATTATATAATTATAAATCTGTATAATAATAAGAACCTTATTCACATTTATTAATGGGTTAGTTAATATGTTTAAAGTAACAAAACTAACTGAAAGTTTACCATTAAGATCCAAACAATATAACAAATAAAAGTAACTTTGACAGCCAGATGGCTGAGTGATTNGTCATATTATGTCAAAATAATTGTAAAAAAATTATTTGCAAAACTTTTTATAAATTTAAATCAATGAGTGATCAAAATAACTACATAATTATTTTATTCAACATTCTTCACCATTATCATAATGAATTATATAATTATAAATCTGTATAATAATAAGAACCTTATTCACATTTATTAATGGGTTAGTTAATATGTTTAAAGTAAGAAAACCAATTATTATATTAATTTCTAACGGGGCCTGCCGGCCATCGACGACCTTAAAATTTACACAGTACGATACAAAGTTAGCTTCAAAAATTTCTGTAAGATTTCGAGGGGTTTCGCATCCCTAGAGAAATCTACACGAGCAAAAGCCAAAGAAACCGTACTTGTTCCGCTTCCAAAAGTCAGTTTTTAACACTTTTCGGTATACTGTCCATTTTCCATGCACCACTGGCTATGGCGAGCCCCACACTCCTTAATATAATTTCTAATACTCCACGAACGGTCGAGTAAACTATTCGAAGCTGGTATAATCGCATGGGCTAAAGTCTTACTGAGTCACGCGACTGGCCATCTCGCGCCACCCGATTTTGGGCTCCTTTGACTGTTTTGCTTCCAAAGATATGGTATACGGCTCTGATAAGATCCCAACAGTCTCGAATTGAGCCCGAATGGTATTTTAATTCGGACGAAAAACACAACAAAAACGAAACTCACCTTTAGAATTTTGGCGCCATACACGACGAACGAGACTGGA